TCCACAATGAGATACCACTTTCTACCAACTAGGATGGCTATAATAAAAAAAGACAGAAAGTAACAATTGTCAAGAATGTAGAGAAATTAGAACCTGCGTACACTTCCAACAGGAATGTAAAATGGTGAAGCCTCTTTGAAAAACAGTCTGGTGGTTCCTTAAGAGTTTACACATAGAGTTACCATGTGACTCGGCAATCTCACTCCTAGGTATATGCCCAAGAGAAATCAATGCATATGTCCACACTAAGACTGGTACATGAATGTTTATAACAGCACAAATAACAATAATCAAGAAGTATAAAGGACCCAAATGTTCATCAACTAATGAATGGGTAAATAAAATGTGGTACATCCATATCAGGAATATTATTTGACAATAAAAGGAAATGAAATACTGAATCATGGTACAACATGAATGAACCTTGAAGACATTATGCTAGATTTTTAAAGCCAGACCCAAAAGATCACACACATATTGTATGATTTGTAATTCCATTTATATAAAAATGGCTAAGACAGAGAATTTTTCTTTTTTTTTTTTTTTTGAGACAGAATCTTGCTCTGTCTCCTAGGCTGGAGTGCAGTGGTGTGATCTCAGCTCACTGCAATTTCTGCCTCCTGGGTTCTAAGGGATTCTCCTGCCTCAGCCTCCCAAGTAGCTGCGATTACAGGCACCCGCCACCACACCCGGCTAATTTTGTATTTTTAGTAAAGATGAGGTTTCACCATGTTCTCCAGGCTGGTCTCAAACTCCTGACCTCAGGTGATCCACCTGCCTCAGCCTCCCACAGTGCTGGGATTAAAAGTGTGAGCCATGGCACCCAGCCAGAACATGCAAATTTATAGAGACAGAAAGTAGATTACTAGTATCCTAAGGCTGCGGGGAGAGTGAAATGGAGAATAACAGCTAATGAGAATAGATTTCCTTCTGGGGTGATATAAATGTTCCGCAATTGATTGTGCATTGATGGTTGCACAACTCTGTGAATGTTCTAAAACCTCTGAGTTTTATACCTTAAATGGGTGAATTGTATGGGATGTGAATTATGTCTCAATAAAGCCATGCCAAAGGGGAAAAAGGAAAAGAAAAAGAAAGCATGCCTGGGGTCCGCTCTGGGTTCAGCCTGCTGGGCAGTGAACTCCAAATACACCACACATTTCCCTATTTCACGGTTAGAGGAATTAGGTGGGCCCATGGTTCCAGTAAGGGGTAGACTGCCCAGGACACCAAAGGTCAGTCTCAGGTGGCGCCATCCCAGCTACAGGCACCAGGCCATGCCTGCTTGCCCTAGGTGGGAAAAAAAAAAAAAGGCTGATAAAACTACTCAGCTGCAACTATATGTTACTTTTCATGAAAAATTAAAGATAAAATTTTTTAGCTTAAACTCTTTAATTTCAAGGGATAATTTTAAGGGCAGGTCTGAGAACCTAGAGAGTAGAGTCTTGAGACACAGAGGATTATTTCTAGGCTTTGAAATCTAACCAAGTTCACCTGGTTGGATTTCAAAATTGCTTGGGACTACTGATTCCTTTTTTCCTTTCGTTTCCCACCTTTTTGATCAGGAATCTCTATAGCCATTATTCAACGCCTGTACCAACATTGTATATGAGGAGTAGATAACTTGTTTTCTCATTTTGCAGGTCCACAGATGGAGAGGAACGTTGCCCCAGGATGGGTAATACTTGGAGTCTCACTGATATCTGATTTAGACATTTAGAGGATGAGATGTGAGACTTTTGAGCTGATCAGATTTAGCTGAGATTTTGGACTTTGAGTTGATGCTGTAATGGGTTGAGACATTGGGGGAAGTTGGAATGGGGTGAATGTATTTTACATGTGGGATGGATGTGAATCTTTGGGGGACACAAGGTAGAGCACAGTAGGTAGAATAATGGCATCCCCAAGGATTTCCACAGCACACTCCCTAGAACCTGTAGATATATTACTTTACATGGCAAAGGGACTGAACGTGTGATTAATTTAAGTCTCTTGCAATGGGAAGATTATCCTGGGCTTTCCACATAGGTCTAACATAATCAGATGTGTTCTTATAAGTGGGAGGCAGGTGTGTAGGGTCCAGAAGAGAGATATGATGATGCAAGCAAAGGTTAGAGAAAGCAAGAGAGATTTAAGATGCTGTGCTACTGACTTTGAGGGTGGAGGAAGAGGCCATGAGCCAAGGAATATAGGTGGCCTCTGGAATCTGGAAAAGTCAAGGAAATAGATTCTCCCTAAGGCATTCAGAAGGAACATCTTCTGCTAGCATCTTGGTTTTAGACCTGTAAGACCTATTTCATTATTCTGACCTCCAGAACTGTAAGAAAATAACTTTGTGTTGTTTAAGCCACTATATTTATGGTGATTTGTTACAGCAGCAATAGGGTACTAATATAGAGGCCTTGAATCTTCTGCCTTCATTCTCTTAGAATTTGGCCAAATGAGGCTGGGCGCAATGGCTCATGCCTGTAAACCCAGCACTTTGGGAGGCCGAGGTAGGCAGATCATGAGGTCAAGAGATCAAGACCATCCTGGCCGACATGGTGAAATCCCATCTCTACTAAAAATACGAAAATTAGCTGGTCGTGGTGGCGCATGCCTATAGTCCCAGCTACTCGGGAGGCTGAGGCAGGAGAATTGCTTGAACCTTGGAGGCGGAGGTTGCAGTGAGCCGAGATCACACCACTGCACTCCAGCCTGGTGCCTGGCGATGGAACAAGACTGTCTCAAAAAAAAAAAGAAGAAGTTGGCCAAGTGAAAATCGTCTTACCATCCTGAAGGGCAGAGAGGCCACAAGGAGTAAAAAGGACCTGGAGAATAAGTGACAATGAACAGAGAGAAAAAGAGACCTAGCTGTCCTCAGTCTCTATAGCTACACTTTTGAGGCAGCAGGCACATGAGTAATGCCATCTTGGAACCTCCAGTCCCAACTGAATCATCACGGCCATACCCCGTAGAGCAGAGACCAGTGTGCCATGTCCAGATTGCAGAACCATGAGCAAGGAAATGGTTGATATCGTGTTAACCTATCGAGCTTTGGGGTGGTTTGTTAGGTAACAACAAATAATTGAAACAATATGATATCCTTTAATGCTCATCACCATCCCATGAGGAAGGGACCAATATATTTCCATTTCACAAATATACTAAGACTTAGAGAGGTGAAACGAGTAACTTGTCCTAAGTCACACGAAGCGGAACCAGGATTTGATCCTAGGCACCGTGACTGTAAAACCTATGCTCTTAACTTTGAAGGTTTCACATTCTTAGCCATCACTTTTAGTTTTAAGCATCATACGTTCACTTGAATTACTTTAATAGAAAAATTTTTATAATAGCAGAAAAATCAGAGGAGCAAGACTCTGAGACTAAGCTTTGACTGCTGTTAGAACTTGTGCGTGAGAGAAGGATGCATTTTCCTTCTGTTGGATGGGCTTTCTCCAAAAGTTGAAAAGTTTTACACAATTTAAAAGTGGCTGAATTATGTCATGAAATGTAGCTTTACCAGCCCCTAGACACATATCCTGACTTTGCCTTCAAAGAAAACCTGATTAAAAACTCCTGAGGAAGGATTCTAATTGGTCTATGATGGGCCAGGTGTTCAGCCTTGGACTGAAAAACAACTCAAGGGATGAGATGTTTTTAAAAGTTCCTATTTGATGCACATAGTTTATAATCTAGGAATAAGAACGTTCTAGAGGAGGGTGGGTAGCAGTGTAGCAGTTTGCTGATCTAGTCAGGCAAGCAAAGACACCCACTACAGAGAAGTTTAGCTTCAAAGACGTAAAAACTATGTCAGTGAAAGACATTGGGAGATGAGAAAGGGAAAGGGGAGTCAAAATTCAGAATTGTCTTTTTTTTTTAGACAGGGTTTTACTTCATTGCCCAGACTACAGCCCAATGGCGCAATCCTGGTTTGCTGCAGCCTCGTCACCAGGGCTCAAGTGATTCTCCTGCCTTAGCCTCCCCAGTAGCTGGGACCATAGGCCTGCATCACCACGCCCAGCTAGTTTTTGTTTTGTTGATTTTTGTATTTTTTGTAGAGACAGGGTTTTGCTACATTGTCCAGGCTGGTCTCAAACACCAGGGCTCAAGCAATCCACCCGCCTCGCCCTCCCAAAATGCTGGGATAACAGTGCTGAGAGCCACCACGCCCGGCAGAGCTGCCCTTTTCAATGTAAGCTATCTGTTCCAGAGAAATGTCTATTCTACATGAATTCCGTGGCATGACCTTAGATAAAAGGCTTTCAGAAATTCTCCCTCTTGATTGTATTTACAGAAGCCTTCCTAGTAATGTGGAATCAGTCAACCAAAACCAAGCTAATACAACAAGCTTGACCCTTGGCAACCAGAAGGCTTCTGGCAGAAAACAGCTCAGTGCAAGAGCAGACAGTAAAAATGGCTGATAAGCTATGTCAAACCCAGAATTTCCAAGTCAGAAGGCACTGCAGAGCTCATGTAACCTAACCTGCAGGTTTTGCCAAGCAGTGATTCATGAGTATGCAGTACCAGGATGAATACACAGAAATCTCACCAACTACTTCCCCAACTGGAAATTTTATGAAGACTCCATACAACCAGTATCCAGGCCCCATCATAAACTGTTACTGAAAAGAGAAAACTCCTCGCTGCTTTGTATAATCTGTGAAGCCCAAAGACAGAATTTTAGTCACAGTTGTGTACACATAATATGCATTAAGTGGCTAGACTTGAGATAGCCCTCCCCATTCTAGTAGATCTTAATAGTTACTCATAAAAATCTACACATTCACACATTTTACTTGCCTGTGTATATTAATATATTCATAAAGGCTATCAGCTTAAGTAAATTAAAAATCTCATTCCTCTCACACACAACCCTTAATTAATCCAATGATCACATTTTTGAGCAAACCTGTAATTAAATACATATTTCTGGAGGTTTAAACAGATTCTATTAACAGCTTGTCCCTGTGACCTGTTGATGGGCTTTGAGAACACCAGACATGAAAGAAACTGTCTTCTTTTAAGTAAGCAAGGTTTATTTGGATCAGAGTGTATGAAGGATGAGAAGAGTTTCCAGGTTCCGTACTGTGCCCTGAGCTAGAGCACACATTTCCCAAGCAGTGCTCTCCCATGCTGATTAGAGCTTGATGATATTTGCATCTGGTACTTGTATGTAATGAGTCCTTCCTCTCCACTCATGTTCAATCACTCTTCTCTTTCATCAAGAAGATGTTCTCTGTCCATCTTCATCACTGTAAAATAAAATTTGGCTCTTGAAATCTAAGTGTTCTCTCATGTTTCATTAGCATTTCTTCTATGGTTTCACAAAATTCTTGTACGTGATTCCGACATTTTTAAAGCTGCCCAAAACTTTTAAACCTTTGATTAGTTACATACATGAATATCTCCAAATATGCAAAATTCCTTAAGACATAAATTCTTCAAAAACCCAAGCAATTTTTATGAACACTTAAAAATATGTGCTATCATGGCCAGGCGTGGTGGCTCACACCTGCAATCCCAGGTTTTTGGAGGCCAAGGCAGGAGGATCACTTGAGGTCAGGAGTTCAAGACCAGCCCGGCCAACATGGTGAAACCCCTTCTCTACCAAAAGTACAAAAACTAGCAGACATGGTGGTGAGCACCTGTAATCCCAGGTACTCAGGAGGCTGAGGAAGGAGAATCACTTGAACCCAGGAGGCAGAGGTTGCAGTGAGCTGAGATCA